TCAAACAGACCCCCGATATTTCCCTTTTAAAATAGAAAAAGAGATTTAGGACACAAAGTCCTCTATCTCTTTTTCTGTGTCCCCTGTTATCAATGAACAGGAATCCTCTATGAGTGTTCCTGTTCATTCATAACATGAGGACATGGTATGTTTACTATAACCACAACTATGAATGAACAGGAGGTGATGTAGATCACTTCCCATTCATTCATAATTGAGGATATAGTCAACATACCATGTCCTCAATTATGTACAAACACTCGGCGATCACTGATAGCTGAGTGTTTGTACCTTGCTCTCCTCCCTGACAGCTGTCACAGGAGGCTGGGCCAGCGGTGTAGGGAGGAGAGCCCAGCCTCCTGTGACAATGCGGCCTGTCTCCACCCACACACCGCTCTGCCGGACTGTGATAGGAGGCTGAGCGGTGTGGGAGGAGACGCCTGCCGCTCACAGAGCTCTCCGCCCGCAGCGCTTGGCCGGCTATTACGGTTTCTCTCCTCCCCGCTGGGACACAGAGCAGCGCTCAAAATCAAATTTACACACACAGTAGAATGAATTGGAGAAGTGACTTATCCCCCTTCCTTACTGCCTCCTCTGTTCAGATAGACCTTACAGAGCTTCGATTAGAGAGATGGTCTGAATGCAAACAGCTTCTGCTCTGTTGTCTCACAGGTTGTGTCACAGGTCACCTGTGTTAAAGTTTTATTTGTAAAATATAGATTTCATATAAATAGTAAAATAAATAATTACATCTATCATTCGTTTTAAAACAAATGAACTAAACAAAAGTAAAATACAACTGACCCTAAACCACAATTGTTTCCCTTTAATTACTAAGGGCCATATTTATAATGCAATGCCTCTGGCATTCACCAAGCATTAGCTGCAGGTGAATCTTCCAGGTGCATAGGTTATATATGACTGATTCACCACCAGCGAATTTTTGCTAAAAGTCACATTCACTGCTTTTATAAATACTGTATGCCTCCAAGTGTTGGAGGGGTGGTTAAATGTTGAAAGCTCACATTAAAAGGAGAACTATGAGATGAGTGACTTCCACTCACCTCATAGTTCTAGCCGACCTGTGACAATGAGACTGTCACAGGTCGGCTCAGTAGATTGGGAGGTGAGCGAACACATACCGGGTTCGCTCACCTCTCGATCCTGTCACGGCTCTCTGCCGTGACAGGGGGAGGGCGGGATTCCCCGCTCCCCGCACCGATCTGCCAGCGCTGACTGGCGGAACGGACGGGGGAGGAGGTGGATACAGCTGGCTCTGCCTCTAGATAGGCAGAGCCAGCTGTCACTCACGCAGCTGGGCGGATCCCGTCATTTACGTCGGGATCCGCTCCGGCGTCTCAGTATACCGCGAGCTGTAGCTCGCGGTATACTGAGCTTAGGGTAACGGGAGGACGCTAGTTTGTGTCCTCCCGTTACCCTAAGGAGAACTATGGGGAAAAACACTGACCCCATAGTTCTCCTTTAAGTGTTCAGTATTAAGGTGAGTTGTGATGATAGTGAGGTCTGATGAATCCCTCAAACTGTGTATCATGAGAATGGGGGAGTCGTATTAAACACTGCGTCACCTTTAGGACACGGCTGAGAGCCAAACATTTGTTCTGCATGCATGTATATTAACAAGGAACATGCTGACAGGAGAAGAGAGCCAAGGGAGCACAGGGATGACCCTACAGTATGTTTCTACTTTTTCACTGTCCGGATGGAAAGCTGGGGTAGAGAGAGGATACCATTGGATCTCTTAATTGTAGGTGGTATCATCCACCTGACTGTGATGTGACTGTCAAATAAATAGTAAGGGTGAAGAGTTTGGAGAAGACGGGAGAAGTGAACAATCTAGGACAAAATAGCTGATTTGGAGACATTTTACAATTCAGCTCACTTTCTAGTTCAGCTATGTTGTCCTAGATTGTTCACTTCTCCTGCTTTCTCCAAACACTACACCCTTTTGTGAATAACCCCCTAAGTGATTGGTGAGCACTCATTGTATCTGATGACACTTACCCAGACCACTCATCATCTGGGATGTAGCAGAACATCAGTCTTCTGGCGTGATATGGTAACCAGCATACAATATACGCTATTACAATGGCTCCTGTGTGGTTAGAAAAAAGATGTTATTAGGCAAAAAGTTTTTCTCTTGAAGCATAAAATGATATTTGGGTGGATGCTGCTAAGCTGGCCTATAAATATCCATCACAGACTAGGCTGTCCCATTGAACCCTACAAACCGTTCTCTTTTATGAATACTGGCAACATGAAGGAACTCATAGCAATCATTTTTTAATTAGCTTTAAAGATGAACTCCAGGAAATGTAAAAACTATCTTGGCAATGCTCCCCCCCCCCCCAAAAAAAATCAGTTCTACTTACCTTATCCCTGCTTCCCTCCGATACTCTGGGTTATGGGCAGGCCATTGTTGCCTTCAATTACAATGCAGGACTGCAGGTTCTGCATTGAATGTGATGACATCACAGTGCGACCGTCGGAGAGCCGAAGAGAATCGGCTTCATGGAACTGGCTGCACAAAGAGTTGACATTTGCGGTAGCTAGAGATAAGGTCATTATAACCAGGACCTGATTTCCCACAGGGCAACCGAGGCCTGGCCTTGGGGCAGCAGGAAGTAGAGGGGCAGCACAGCTCTTCTGAGGGACCCACGACCATGGCAAGGTAGTTCCGGATGGAGAGCGTTCTCCACTCTGCTCTGTGTAAACACTGAGACGGTAGACTTGCACTTCCCATCTCAGCTGTCACAAGAGTTCCAGCACAGTACTGTGCTCAGGTTCCTATATTGGAGGTGAAAGGTTCAATACAGAGAACCTGCCACCTCCAAATGCTATCACACAGGGACTTGTTAGCTCCTGTGTGATAGCAATAAAATTAAGTGGAAAAAAAAGAAAGAAAAATTCATAAAAAGTAAAAAATAATTAAATAGAAATAAAAAAATGGTTAAAAATAATAAGAAATAATCAAAATAAAAAAATAGCGATAAAAATGTAAAAAATTATAAAGTAAAAGATAATAAGATAAATACAAATTAAAAAAAGAAAAAAAATATTAAAATTAAAAAGTGATAAAGTAAAAAAAGAAGAAAACAAAATGTAAACCATTCCTGGTTTTTACATAGCAAACAAAATAATTAAGCGATAAGGTAAAGGTTTTAGTGCAGAGTAACTCTTTTTGTAGTTAAATATGACCTTTTTATCAGACCAAAAAGATGGTCTGCTAAAAAGGGGGACAGAGGTATTTGGTTCCAAATGAGGGACAGTTATTATTTTTATTATACAGGATTTATAAAGCTGTGCTGTTATTGTATGAAAATATGATACAAGGCATAGTCATGGTTAATATTTATATCACTGTGAATTGAGAATTTCCTTAAACCATTGCTCATTAGCACTAGTATAGCTGGTTTATATACTGCATCTTGTGGTCATTTTGGTTATTGCACCATCTTTTACTGTGTTCCCTCCCATTTTATGATGCATTTCCCCTTTCTTCATCATATAAGTTTCTTCACCAACATGGCCGCATGCCTTATGGCCACATGTTCTTATACTCACATGGGGAAAGCGTTACCATCTTTTGACCTGCAAATACCATCTTTCTTATCATCTGTTGAATCCTGTTGTCTGCTGTATCCTGCTGCGTTCAATAAAGATCTTTGTGGATGAAAAGGTATTCAGTGAGCTCAGATAGCTCAAGGATTGTCCGCAGTGATTGTATCTACTTATTCAGGCCAGCCTCAGCAAGGGATAAATCACTAATACAACAATTGGATTCAGAATAATAGTGTCAACAGTTTGCGCAACGCTTTATAATATAAGGAGACATTACCGTTACAATACAAGTCAAGACAAAGATGGTAAAGATGGTAAGGATGGCCCTTCCCGTGAGGGCTTACTATCTAAGTTCGGAGGTATGGCATTAACAGGGCATATAGAAAACAATTGTTTTCTCTGTGTCCTTGTGTTGATCAATGCTGATTAACACAGCTTAACGCAACTGGTGTCATCAAGCACTAACTTTTTCTCATCTAGATGAAACTGGCTCTGTGAAAGTTCTGTGCACCACATAAGATACATCAGCTGTGACTGACACCCAGGGGGCGTGTCAAAAATAACCTAAGACTGTCAGTTGGTCTTGTGGAAGATGAACGTCTGCAGACAGGAAGTGTGTCTAATGCAATGCCCTTGAATAAAAATGCAGAGGCACACAGTGGAGAGGAGAAGGGGAGGAAACTACAGAGCAACACAGGTTTTCATCAAGCATCAGAGGCAGAAGTTGATAGGACAGAAACTAGTAAATGATCAAATAATAATAGTCAGTGCACATAATAGTGTGTGAAAGATAAAATGTGTGAATTGAACAAGATAAAGCATGAAACAATAGTCTATATTCCTATGTCTAATCCGAGTGAGCATGGAAGTGCAGTAGTAGCTGTACTTCCAACCACATGTAAAAAACAATATTTGCAGTGTGAAGAAGAAAGTGTTCACCTGGGCAAGTGGATTTTGAGGAAAGATATGAAACTCATTTAAAACCAGGAAGTTCATTGTGCCCATCTTTAGGCAAATCAGAAAACTAGCCTTGCAGTGGGATTAACCCCACACCGCGAGGGTTAAGTTCTATATGATGCTTGGGGGAACGGAGTAAAACACTTTTACATGGCGGTCAGCGCTTTCCTTTTCCCCTCTGTTCCAGCTGGTAGAATGTTCATTGGTGTCCTCACGTCTAATGCAGGTCTGTGGAACCTACCTTAGACGTGATGATGCCAGTGGAGCAAAGAGAAGAAGAGGCTGCGGGAACAGATCTAGCATCCTGGAGGGAGCTGACGGGAGCGGGCATCAGGTAAGTAAAATATTTTTTTCCTGCCCCCTAGGCTATGAGACAGCCTGAGGAATTTGCCTCAGGCAGCATCTCATTGGGTCACATGGGGGAGCGGCAGGTGAGCCTGCTGCCCCTCTCCGGCCATAGCGTTCCAGGTTGCCAAGAGCTCTTAGAAACCTTTGACTCTCTCTCCGGTGTCCCACCCAGCTCACTGAGGTCACTGGTTGAAAGGAGTTGAGCGGGATGCTCTGGCTGGCATCCTGCCCAGCTCCTGGCAACCAGTGATGTCAGTGAGCAGGGTGGGATGCTGGACATAGCCAGATGTACCGTGCATCACCCGCTCCCCCAGGTAACATGCACCACCAGCACCCCCCTGGTAACATGCACCC